TTTTTTTAAGAAACTTTTTCCTGAAAAGAAAGATCTAAACGAATTATTTTCATTGTATGTAAGACACATGTGCAGAATGTGTAACAAGAGCTTTTTGAGTGTTTTTTCGTTAAGAATAACGGAAAAAATCTTATCTCAACAAACAGAAATAGATATTAGATATTTTTTTCTTGACGTTAAACAAACTTTAAATAATGTTAATATATTTCACATTCATTAATACTTTTTACTAACAAATTTTTTTTTCAATAAATCTATTCTCATTGATAAGAAAAAAAATTATTAAAAAATGTTGCATTATTTTTAATGTCATCTCAGGCTAAAGTATTCTACATAGAGATGATTGATTTAAGTTGACTTTTTATTTATAGAAACATAAATATTTATAATCAAAATCAAATCTCTCATTGTTTGTTTATTTCACTTCTTTTTCTGAGAATTTTTACACAGGATTAGAAAAACTGTTAAATATATCTTATCTTTGTTCGACATAAAATAAATTTTAAAAATATATGAAATAAAATATTTCTGAAAGAGATTTAGTTTTCTTTATTATTATTCGAGAAAAGATTACAAATTGAATAAATTCAGTCGTTAGTTAGGAGAACAATCAACACTTTTTAAAGAATTCTCAATGAATAATTTTTTTAATATTTAGTCTGAATTCGAGAATAAAAACAATATTAGAAAATCCATTCGTTCACAAAGAGGATCGTAAGTATTTGATTTAATTATTCGAAATATATCTATCATTTTAGATCTTTTTTTCATAGGAAATCTGTATTTTGTTTTTCAATTATCGTTGCTGTTCTTACCCTAATAACTATCACTAGTATTGCAATATGGATTATGTTCATTAAAAAGGCCGAAACAACAAATAATCCAACTACAGCTACAATTGATGCATCGACAACAAAAACAACAATTCGCATAACGTCGACAACAAAAACTACAATGGTTACAACATCGACAACAGAAACAACAACGCTTACAATGCCGATAACAGGAATAGCAATGCTTACAACGTCGACTAATTCTCATACAACAACTATGAATGGTAAAGTTTTATTATAAAAGAAAAAACAAGAATTGACATATTTCTTGGGTCCAAAAAAAATAAGCTCCACAAGTAAATTCCAAATTTGTAGCTCACTTACGCATTCATATTTTATCTAATAATACTTCGAAATTATATAGTCGTCCAAAAGAAACTTAATAATTGAATACAGAATAAATCTATTACGGAATGTGAAGTGCTATTTCCAAAACAGAATAATATTACTCAGCACCCATGAATAACAGTCTCAAAACAGAACAAAAGTAATCAACATCTGAAAGTATCATTTCCATACCAGAACATTTGTGTTCTATTTTGGAGAATTTTGAGATCAGAATATATTAGAAGAATCACTCACACCCTAAAGGATGAAATCTATTTTATTTTACACAAATTTTCAAATCAAATCACTCTTTTATTGGCAAATATTATAAAATATTTCTTTTTTTCTGATTTTTATTTTCCAAATATAAAACTTCAAATAATTTATGTTTTTTTGTCAACAAATTCTCTTCAAAATTGAACAAAAAATCAGATCAAATTTGTTTTTTTCATTAAACATGTTTATGAACCTTTTGGTTCAAAAATTAATCTTTTCTTTTTCTTTGGTTATTTTCTAGTATCAAAATTCAACAAATGGAAACAAAATGCCATTACTGTGGCTGGCGGAAATGGACAAGGACAACAATTAAATCAACTCACTTGGCCCGAAGGAATCTTTATTGATGAAAACAAAAATATTTTCATTGCTGATTGTTTTAATTATCGTGTAGTTGAATGGAAATATGATGCAAAGGAAGGACAAATCATTGCAGATGGAAATGGGCAAGGAAATCGAATAAATCAATTATACCGACCAACTGATCTGATTGTTGATCAAAAAAATCATTCGGTCATCATTGTTGATTATGGGCACAGACGAGTGATTCGATGGATGAATCAAACGCAACAAGTTCTCATTCACAATATTGACTGTCGTGGCTTGGCAATGGATAAAAGTGGATTTCTTTATGTTTCTGATGTAGAGAAGAATGAAGTGAGACGATGGAAAATGGGAGAATATAACAACGAAGGAATTGTAGTGGCAGGTGGAAATGGAAAAGGAAATCAACTTAATCAACTCAATAGTCCTCGTTTTATCTTTGTTGATGAAGAACAATCTGTTTATGCATCAGATAGAGACAATCATCGTGTGATGAAATGGAGAAAAGATGCCAAAGAAGGAACAGTTGTGGCTGGAGGAAATGATCAAGGAGATAATCTCAATCAATTATCTTCGCCTGAAGGAATAATTATTGATGATTTGGGTCAAATCTATGTGGCAGATTCAGATAATAATCGAGTAATGTGTTGGCGTGCAGGAAAAGAAGAAGGTGAAATTGTTGTTGGTGGAAATGGTGGAGGAAGTCAATCAAATCAATTGCATAGTCCCAATGGTTTGTCTTTTGATGATGAAGGAAATCTTTATATTGCTGATGATTTGAATCATCGAATTCAAAAATTTGAAATAATTTTGTGAATGACCTTTTGATTTTGAAAAAAAGAAAAAAGTTTTTTGGATTGAACAAAAGAACGAAGAAAAGTCTTTTGAGATATTTTTTCTTTAAGATTGATTTTAATTTGATGATTTTGATTAAAAAAACTGCAACAAATAAACGTTAAATTCTTCATCTTTTATTGGGCTTTGAGGATGATAAGAAAAGAAAATATTTTGTACTTTGAATTAAATTAAATAGAAATTATTCGAGAGAAATATTTTATGTTTGATAAAATTTGAAAATTGTTCGAAAATGAAGAGAAAAATTCAAAAGAAAACTGAATCAAGCATTAATTCAAATAAAACAAAGCAGTAATAAACTTTTGAAATGATACAAAACTTAAATTTGATTTTTAATTTCAAGAAGTTTTGATCAGCGAATTTTTTTTATTTGATTTCTCTTAATAAAACTTTGGAAAAGATTTGTTATATTTTTTTCATAGAAATTGAAATAAATATTTACTTCAATTTCTTCAAATGACGAAATATAACATTTTCCTTGTTTTGATCTTTGAATAAGAAGCTTCCTTTAAAACTTTTCTCATTTTTTCAAATTGAACTTTCTTCTTTTTCATCAAAAAAATCCAAATCAATGATTAATTTCAAACTATCGAAGTTTTATGTGAAAAGATTTTCATTTTGCTCTTATTTTTTCATTGAAATTTGATGAAAATAAAAACAATTCGAAGGTGTTTTTATTACTTCCTATTTCTTGTCAGATAAAAATTAGTTGAAGTTGATAAACATTTAATAAAAATAATTAAATTTCATAATGAAATCATCTGTAAAATCTAGTTTTCAAATGAATTTATCAAGAATGCATTGAAATATGGAAAAATGTATTTTTTAGATAAATTATTGTTGAGATAGATATTTTACATGAATTTATTTAATTATTGTTAAATTGAAATAAAACTATTCTCAATGATTATTTATTAATACATATGGATTTATCTTTTGATGATCAAGGAAATCTTTATGTTGCTGATGTGGAAAATCATCGAATTCAAAAATTTGAAATAATTTTGTGAATGAAATTTAAGTTTTGAAAAAAGAAAAGAAACTTTTTGTAAAATAAAAAATCGGGAGAATAAAAAGAAAAAAAAAGTTTTATTATTGAAAATGAATGAAAAAGTCGAATAAAATTCAAAAACAAGAAATGTAATGCTACGAAAAGAACGAGAAAAATCCTTTTAGTTGGTTTTTCTTTAAAATTGAATTTAACTTGAAAGTTTTGACTAAAAAATCTTGAGGGTGTGGGTGAGGGTGGATGCGCTAAGATTCTTTTATAGTACAGCTCCATCGCATAGCATAACGTAGTACATTTGTCTGAGCCACAAATACAAAGTTTTATGAAGAGTGTAATGCTCAAATTATTGATATAAAAGCTGTGATAGATGTGCCCTAGTTTGATAGAAAAAATAATTAATATACTCCTTGTAGATTAACCAAACGAAACTTTTTAAAAAATGGCACCTATAGGTACCATTGGGAAAGAAAGGATTAAATTTGAAAACTTTAAGTTTAACATATTAGAAATAGATCAAAAAGACGCATAAGAATAGTATTCTTCTGTATTCATAGAAAATAGAATAGAACTGGAAGGCTATAAAACAATGAGAAAAGAGATGCGTCCGAATAGCTTTTCATGTAGCTCTGTTTCTATTGTAAGTAACTGTTGTATGAGTATAAGAACATTCTTTCCTTGCATGAAAATGTCAATACTTGTTAACTCAGAGTTACTTCATCTTGGAAGTTACGAAAAACCCATTGATAGCAACCAACAAAGTATGCTATTCTTCATTTACTAGTTCAATATTTGCTATGCAGATGAAGGCTGTTATTCAAGTATACTGTTTGTAAGAATATCAGCTTTCTCCAAAACAGAACAACGACATATACATCAGTCAATCTTTCTTAATTTGTCTCTATTTATGAATGAAACATGTGACACAAAAGACATACTTTATCATTACCAAAAAATCATGCCGTTTTTGTTAGTATGTTGGCCATAAGTAGGATTCGATGAGACTGGAAAATGCCTAAACAGATAACGACTCGTGCGCCTTCCTACTCGAGTTACAGTTATGTCTGATTTTGTTGTTTGTAAAAATCTTATCATGTACCATCTATTTATTATGTCTTGGTAAAAGTTGATAATGATCGTTTAATATCAAAAATTTCCTCCTTACATGCAGATAAAAATATAGTAAATCATTTAAAAACAAACTACATAAATTGAAATTGTTTTTGACTATTTTCATTTGACATGTTTTGACAATGAAAAACTATTGATATCTTTTAAAGCACCGTGTTTTTATGCTAGGAGTAGTAATTGTATCTCATTAGCTGTGCATTTTGCATTAAAGACGAAGCAAGGGTAATTTACAGTGATTTTTTTTCTTTTTTTGATCAAAATAAAAGTAATTTTGTGTTACGTGCAGAATGAAAATAAGTATCATTTATACTGACTCTTTTGGGATGTGCATGCTTGTTTTATGGTATAGATGAAAGAAAAAAATGATTTAGCCTTCACTGATCATTGCATTAGGAGAATGAGAAAAATTTAAGCGTGGATAATATTTATTTATCCTCTGAATATTGTTTCATACTCACTATGTATATGGTGGAAAGAAATCTAGCATATACACGTTCAAGTCTTTATTTGGGATGTTATTTTATCTTTATTTTAACTTTATTTTTGCAAATAAATATTATCTTTATTCTTTATAAAAATAGAAGTAAAGTAAAGATGAAGTAACATCCTTAGTCTTTAGTCCTTATTTTTTCAGTAGAAAGAAAGAAATACAATTTATTTGTCGACGATCACTGAAAATAAAAGAGATATCTAAAAGTACGTTTCTCACTTTTTCATTCAGTATATTTTCATATTTGTGTATAGTCGCAAATATTGTATTTAATACTTTTTACTTTTACATCGATCATCATTCGGATTATTTAAAAGGTAATTATTACTATAGTGCTTGTATTTACTTTGCTGTACTAAAATAATATACTTTTATATCACAGTTTCTCACTTTAAGAAAAGTATACATTAGAATGGGTGTGGGTGATATTCGTTTCTCAATGTAATCCACACCGACACCCATTCGCACCTTCAACACCCCTCGAGATCGTATATCTTTAAAAGGTCTTTATCGTCTTCTTTATAAATAAAATGTAACAGATACTTATCATAACGTATGAAGAAACCTACACATATCAGTTTCGGAAGTAAAAAAAGAAAAGAAAGAAGGATCATATATAAGAATATAGTTACAAGTTAGGTTAGACTTTTTGGAGTATTTAACGAGTGAACCTCAACAAGTAATACACGCTGTTTAAGCTATAAGTGTATAGAAAAATCTAAAACAGCTTCGTCCCGTTGGTCAAGTTTGACGAGATATAGGACTTTTAGTGAGTTTACCGCTATAGCAGAGTGTGGATGTGGATCACATTAAGAAATGAATATCACACGCACCCACCCTCAAGATGTTCCTCGCTCTTTCGTATGAACATGAATGATCTAATATTTTTTTCTTCTGATATACATTTCGGTGTGTATTTCGTAGTTTTTCTCAGTTAGTCGTACGTAACTATGAAAAGCCGACTACGATATTAAAAGTAGTCTTAAAAAAATTCACTCCTTCATGAAAAAACTATTATATGGATTTTAAATTTTTCTAGAAAATGGAGGAAAATTTCGATTTGAAGCAGCTCATTGATCGTCTAAAAGAGAAACCAATAAAAACAATTCTATCCAAAGTGGCACTCTATTCTGCAATAGCTGCTTCTCACGATTATGTTATTTATTACGAGAATAGGTTTCTTTCTATGATAAATCAAGATAGAACTATCAGAAAAAGAATTAATTGGTCAAACAATCAAAGTCATATTATTGATATTTGTTTTTATAAAGAAAATAAATTTTTTATTTTAACAAAAAATCGATTTTATATGTTCAATGCAGATAACGAACAAATTCATTTGTTAAATTCGTTAGATGACGAAGAGGATTGTTCTTATCATCGATGTACATCTGATGGAAAATATTTAATCTTATGTTTGTGGGGTGGAAAAGGAGTTATTGAAAAATGGAGTTATAAATCGACTAGAAATGAATGGAAATGTAAAGTACAATGGGAATCGTCTGAATTATGTCAACAAGATGAACACATTTGTTCTCTCAACTTATCAGAAGAATTTCTCGGGCTGACAATAAACAATTCAAACAACGAATCAAAGTTTCAATTACGTAAAAGTAAAACGATGGAGATATCATATTCGATTCAGTTGCCTAATCAATGCTATCGATTTATTTCAATTAATAACAACAATTGGCTATTAGTTCCATACTATAACCGAAGACAAGAAGTTTTCCTGATTGACACTAAAAAGAAAATTGTTAAACCCATCCGTATTTTCGCCCGATCGCTACTCTATGAAGATATTGATGATGATAAAATCATTTGGAATATGGCCTTGAGCGTAGGAGACAGTCCTTATCTTGTTGTTCGATGTGAAAAATATGTTTGTTATTATAATCTTTCACAGAATATAAAGAACTCTTCTTGAACAAAATGAGAAAAGATTTCTTTGTATCCAAAGAAAATATAATATCTTCCCTATATAATCAAATACAATTTCATTCCACCGCAAAACAAGGGTGTAAGCGTTAGTGTCTTTTCTTCCATACCTACACCCTCAAAAGAATAGTCTTTTTTCTAGAAGCATATGGCCTGCATATTATTGTTGCAACTTATTTGTATGATCAATAGTCTTCAATAATAAGTTTTCAAGAAGGAAAACCAATTAATAGGTTTTTCCTTTGAGACAAACAAAAATAACTATTTGAATATTATTTTAATTTCATACATCAAAGAAAGCATTTAAATTATATCACGATTCTCTACTGTTCTTCAAGAGTAAAGTTAATCTTTATAGAAAGATGCGACATCGATTTTATATACATTTATTCTATTTCGAAATTTTTTAATTATCAATAAAATGAGTCAATTTATAATGAGAATATTATATTTATTATATTGTGTTTTTACAGATGTTAAAAAAATAAATTACTATTTCGATAATGTGAGTATCATTATCATCTGATCACATTCAGACATCTAAATTTATCCTAAATTAGTGTAAAACAATAAATATTGAAATTACACAACAGATAGAGTAAGGGTGTCGGTGTGAATGTTTATGGTTTATTAATCAAATACTACAAGCACACCCACCCAGACCCCACACCTATACCCACATCCATATCCGCCCACACCCACATCCATATCCGCCCACACC